GGCGTTTTTGAGTTATGCGCTTACCAACACATTTTGCGATTCATTTTTATATATAAGATTATAAATATATTTTTTTTCATATATTTATTCATCTGTTTGTATGATGCATTCTTATATCTTTTATTCTAGAGTTTTGTTACATTAAATATTTGCCAATTACATAAATATTTATCTCCTTTTTTGGCTATATTACTCTTAATTTAAAATATATTAATCCTAATTCAATTTACCTCTGAATGCAAATTAATTGCAAACTTTAGCCGATGCAAGTACATTGAAAAAGCTCTGTCTGCCCTGGTGTGCGGTGGAGCCAGTAAAACCCATCGTGGGTTTGGGTTGATCGCCACACCCACCCACAGCGTGGGATCGAGACACGTTTACACTATACTTATGCCGAAGAGGCATGGACTGGCAATTATTTATGCAACAATTACTGGAAACGATAATTTGGAATTTTAAAATATAAATAATAAATAAAATATAATAACTGTTCGCGCCATATCAAAGGGTGCGATTCATATTGATATAAACAAAAAATCATCAATCGAAAATTATACAAAAAATCAAATCAATCAATACGTTATGAAAAACAATATTGAAATTATTATAAATACATAACTTGTAATGAACATAAAATAAATATTACTAGTAATAAACTAAAGTATTTTATAATTGGTCCTTCAAAAAGCAAAATTCAATCAAACAAGCTATACATATGCAGGTAATGTGGCGAGAAGCAATCCTAGAAATAACAGGTATCATAAAATTGCGTCGATACAATTGCAACTATCATATTTTCTATATCAATATATTAATATTGTTTAAAACCATTATTTTATTTATCGTTACTGTAACTCATTATCAGTGACAATAAATTCAGCCGATGCGACGTTGATATTTTTGCTCGTGACGCCCTGTCAAAATAAAATATTACAACTGACGGTCATTTTCTGTGATAAATCAAAACGTATCATATTATGAATTATTTCATATGCGAGTATTCATTTAATGGATTCATCATATAATGTAATATTCCATAAATCGTTAGTGAATATTTATTATATTTGCGGCTTTGTTTGATAAATTGACCAAAAGAGTATTTTTTATTTTGCTAGAAATGTTGAAATTGAAATTATGAGTGTTTCGGGTGAAATATTGTTTGATATGAGTTTTATTATTTGTAACAGAGTATTGCTCATGGTAACAGGGGAATTTTAATTTATGTCGAGCAAAGTTTTTAGGATAGGACTAATATTATTAATATGTTATGATATTAATTTATAGAGTATGAAAATGATATTAAACAGCATATCAAATGTACAAAAAAACTAACGACCTTATCTTTACCTTTTTCGCTTTGGGACCCTGGGATTTTTTTTACAGAGCTTAAATTAAGTTAGTAGATCTTCTGGCCATTTTCTTTTGAGCTTCTATTTTATTTTGAGTTCATTGGATAATCTTTATGTTGGACGTACTTGCAGATCCCCATAGTTGAATATCATAAGTCCATATTGGTATTATTACTGACTTATAGATTTGTAATTTATTGTTGTATGACATTTTAGATTTTCTTCTTATTAGCCAGTAGAGTTGTCTAAATTTGTTCATAATTTGCTTCCTCTTTTGTTTGATGTGAATATTCCATGTTAGTTTGCGGTCCAGATGTAAACCTAAGTATTTAACGCTGGTGCAAGTTAATATTTCCACGTTGTTTATAAATACAGTAGGACAGTTTTTCTTTCTTGTAGTGAAAGTGTTATGTCGCGTTTTATCTGGGAAAATATAAATCCAGATTTTTTTCATTTATTTAATGTAAAATGTAATACATAAGACCCTGAGCAGGTCATAGAGTATTTTTGTCTTAAATTTATTACCAATAATGTTCAGTAAATTATTAATATGTAACTATTATTAATAATTTATTAAGAAAAATTTCCCTCTTTCCAAATTATTCCGCTTTCCATAATAGGACTTATTTTTTTATGTCCGACTTGTGGAGTCTGCGAAAGGTCTGATTCAGAACTAGAACAGGCGGTTGTCACCGGTTCATAGATTTATTCCTCGGCCAGTGCACCGGACACGTGTGAAAACGCGAGCCTGGGCGGGAGGCTGGTACTGCTTTTGTTCTGATGAAATCTACGATGGAACAAGCATATTTAGGCAGGAAAAAGAGGGAATTATAATATTTTCGATTTTAAATTGGTTTATATATCTTTTATAATAATTAATTATTAATCGTGGTAGTCGATTGTCGAATTTTGGGATGAGGGTGAGAAAGAAGACAAATTTTAAATATTATGAAAAAAACAGTTAAAGTTTTGCAAAGGAAGGAAATAGAGGGGGATTTTCGTGGTCAAACAGTTATATCTTCGAAAATAATTTAAATTTTGGAAAATCCTCTAGTGTACCTAGAGATGGGTAACTCACTCCGGAGTTATCACTCCAATACAACTCCTTCCTCGGAGTGAATCCGACAGGAGTTGTCTCACAAGATTTGTCATATCCGACTTCCCTAAACTGGTACTAAATCTGTTAACATGTGCAGATATTTGCTTGAGATTTTTTACCAATACAAAGATTTGGGTCGAAAGAAGTGATCTTTTTCTCGTCTCACAGCAAGTTTTAGGACTAGGTATATAATGTCTCAAAATAATGCTATTTTGTATTGTATATTCTGTATACGATAATGTTTGTCCGTAAATGAGCTCTTTCAATGGTATACAACCAGCTAAAAAATATTTGGTATTATATTATAACTTTTACACAATTATGATTTTTATAATTGTGTAAAAGTAATAGTATGCTAATAAAACTACCTGATGTATAATTAATTCTCGAAAAGAAAATATTAAAAGAATGTGAAGTATTATTATTTTATGAAAAATATTAAACACAAAGATTTGTTCTTATTTCATATGTAAGGTTCACTGCATTATTTTCATATAAAAAATAAACATATTCAAAGAATTCTATATTTTTTCTTCAAATATAATTACAAAATTGATTTTGATTTCCCAAGTTTTTTGTCAATTTGAGATTTGTATGCATATGGAAATGCATAAAATAGTAATTATTATAATAAAATGAACAAAAATTTGAACTATTTGTAAACTATTTCCAAAGTCTTAATAAATCTTTAGTAGATATGTAAACAACACACTAGAAAACGCATTTGTGTCAAGTATTATGTTTATATAACTCCTCTCCTAACCGATCCGGCTTCGGATATGATAAGCCCATCTCTAGTATGTATATACCTACAATTCGAATTTTTTCATGATTTGTGCTGCAGTTTAGTATTTGTATGTAATGTAATCTAAGAAAATATATATGTACATACATAAACAAGTTTCAATTTCTTAATAAACATTATGTTTGTTGATATCTATGTATGTATTTGTTATTTTCAATAAATACACAACTTTATTCTTCATATATTGGATTATCCGGATTTTCGATTATCCGAATGCCTATCGACAACAATTAGTCCGGTTCGATTCGATTTTTTAATTCTAGACCAGATTCCCCCATGATTGTAGGATTTTGCAATGATTTTAATAAGGTAAAGATGATGCATGTAGTCAGAGATTTATATTACAATATTTAAACTTTTCCAATATTTAAACCTTTTCCAAAAATGGTGTATATGTGCAGCACTAATGCCTCCCGATGATGGTCGCAGCCTCGCATCCGTGTCCGCACTCCGCAGTGCCCGAAGCACGCGGGTCGCAGTATAAATGAGTGCCGCCGAATTCTAAAGCGCGAGGCCGAGGTGTGGGAACTTGCATACACCGCACCGAGCGAGCTGTTGTACCGTGTTCGGGACATTGAAGATAAATGTGTTATCAGTGTTCAAAGAACCATTATATGTAGTTTTGCGTTTGCACATGTCTATGCCGGATTGCTGGCCATGTGCCCTGCTCTCTCTATCTCTCCCTTTCTGTCTCTCTATAGAGGTGTGTATGTTTAATGAGAAGATTGCAGGTGTTTCGTATGTGTTATATGGAAATAGTTGTTGGGAGAGATGATGTACCTACGTACATCGAGCAGAGTAAACAATAGAGCGAATTACTAATGGATCGCATTGCACGAGGTTTCGCTGATGTAATGATCACTAGTTCGCGGTGGATTGGAATAATAAAATGATAAGAAAAAAATCATTTTGTATACTTTATAAAATGCAAAATATTGTCGTATATTAATCAACGACTCACAATTTTAACAGCGTGGACCAAAGTAAAAACGCAAAACTTGAGAATCAAATTCAATTTAATTATTTTCTTTTGATGAGAGAATAATTGATTTTTTGGATTAATTTTATATAAAAATAATGTAGTAAACTTTGTAATAAAAGCAAAACATTTATCATAAAATATTTTCACCAAATAATAATACTTAGTAATAAAAGCAAAACATTTATCATAAAATATTTTCACCAAATAATAATACTTCTGCATTCTAATTTTTTTCTTTTGCTATTTTCATTCGAAAATTAATATTATATCGGGTAGTTCGAGTTTCGTGTATTTTTCGGTATGTATATTCCTGATTGCCGTCATTCACAGCCAAAGATTGTCGTAGTTAGAAATATGACCCCTTACTATTCAATAAATTATACATTGGAGCTATTCATACTTGAACACAATTTCATTGTTCTGTATCTTTGTTTTTTTGTATTTTCTGGATAAAAACCGTATACCTAAAAGGTCGTAAAACTGCATGTGAGACGAGAAAGCGACACCTTTCCAAAGCAAAAACGCAGTAAAAGATTTAGTACCAGTTTAGGGAAGTCGGATATGACAAATCCGGCGAGAAAACTCCACTCGGAATCACTCCGAGGGAGAAGTTGTATCTGAGTGATAACTCCAGAGTGAGTTATCCATCTCTAGTATATATCATATACTCGTAATGCTTTTCTTGAAGATTTTGTAATTAATTAATTTTATTTATTTACTGTAAATCTATTTATATATCTATTTATTTATTTATTTATTTTGCAGGATCGAACAAGGATCGTTGCAAAACTCCTGATTCTCCGGAAGGTGCACGCCTAGTCGCCCCCAGAAGTCCGAGCTCACCTTCGGGACCTTTGAATTTGCTACATAACCAATGTAGGGCGAGTAACGGGTCTATTTCGCCACATCAAAACGGAAGCGGTGGTAATATATAAATACATTTTAAAAACTCATGTTTTTATAAAATTATAACGATTTTTGTAGATCTACATGTTAAAAAATTATTGTGAAATAGCTTTTATAATATCTTTTTCTTCCAGCTGGTTCACCGACTCCACCGCCTAGCGGTCATTTGGCGGCAGAATTGCAATTATATGGACAAACATCACAAAGGCCTTTATTAAAAGTAAAAAGATTTCTCTCGACACTTGTAACATTTGGACAAGACATTTCTCCAGATATCGGCGAACGAGTTAGGGGACTCGTTATGTCATTGGCTGTAAGATAATAAATATTTTTAATCGATTACAGATTTATATTTCTACAATAATTATTTTATTGTTTATTTAAGAGTTCGGGAATCAGTCTTGAAGAATTTCAAGGATCACTACAAGATGTGACTAATTTTCCGCTAAGACCATTTGTACTGCCCTTTCTTAGAGCGCATTTGCCACTTCTTCAAAGGGAAATTCAAACATTAGCGCGAACTGCTAAACAGGTAAATTACATAGAATTTTACTTATTTGTTAAAAATTAAACATTTGATATCGCAACACTATTTTATTATTTTTGTTCGAATGATTATTTGTTAAAGGTTTGTTGGAAACTGCGATATCAGAATTTAGCAATTAGTATTATCAGCGCGTTACGCCATGTGACGCTTTCGAAGCACCCTTCCTTCGAACATGCCCCCGTGTTCTAATTTGTTGCCCATCGATTGTAAAGTGATATTGAACAGTCGTCGTTTTGGTTCTGGATATTAATTATAATAAAACATGAAATAAACTTATACAGTAATGGAAATATGGGTAAAATTAATTTGAAAATATTTGTTAAGGTATGGTTATCAATTAATGTAATATATAGAAACCAAAAGATTAACGATGTGAATAAGATATTTGCAATATAAAACATAAAATTTGAATAAATAAAGTCAATATAAAATAAAATAGTTCATAATAATACAACCATTAGATTAGAATATATAATATATTGATTTACTTCTAGTATTTTAATATTTAAATATTAAAGCATTGATTGTAAAATACTCTTATAACATCAAAAGTCTGAATGAACTCAAATTGATTTACTCCTCAAAGGTAAAACCAATTTCTCCGCTCCATATACATTATTACTCCACGTCTGCTTTCACGGAACCACGTGTCGCCGTGACATCTGTCATTGCCCCATTGCGGGGGCCCCACTAATTTCCATCGCTCAACCCATTTTCCTCAGTTTGAGCCGCGTCTCATTTCTCCCAACGAAAACCCATTTCCATTTTCGTGAACAAACAAACGCTTTCGTTCGCGGGAGCGGCTGACACCGACGTCTGACGCACGCGACACTTTTTGCCCTTATTAGATAGATGTATATTGAGAAATAAACTTGGAAGGAAAGAAGGGGTTAATTGGGTCAGAATGTTTTAAAAATGGGTACTACGGACTCTAGGAACTAAAGACTAGAACGCTATGACTCTATAAATTCCGACTTGGGGGCCGTTCAAGTATTACATAAGCACTATAGGGGGCGGGGGGTTGTTGATTTGCTTATTTTGGGTTGACATGGGGGGCAGGGGAGCCTGGATGATGATTACGTCATCATTTTTCATCAATTGCAAAATGTTTACGTAAGCATGGGGGTAGGGGGTAAGAGCCTTGCTTACTTTTGCTGGTAGGGGGATGGGGGGGTAAATAATTGTAATAAATCTGCTTACGTAATACTCGAACGATCCCTTGCTGATTTTATATTTTCTCGACATTTCAAGTAATTTTGAATCGTTTGAGTTTCCAAAATTGGAAAAAGATGTGTGTGAGCCGATATTTGACCTTTTGTCGACGTTTTCTCAAAAATGGCTGAACTAATTTTAAAACTTTAAAAGCCATAAAAGGAATGTTTTCTGTAAGAGTACTTCCAATACTTTAACATTTTTACCAATTTGTTACTTTTTCCTTAACATTTATTAATTCGTTTTCACCAATTTAACGGTTTAAATCTTATTTTTCCAGACGCCTTTACAGTATGTGAGAGGGCACGAACAAGTAGTCTTAGACCCATCTCATAATTCTGCTGAAGCAGCCGAAATATTCCTGCCTCCTGCGTCATCATCTACAACTGGTCCTTGTGGTGATGATAGAGCAAGCAATGCTGCTGCTCCAATATTGAAAAGAAGAGCTTCTGACGCGTAAGACAAAACATTTTTTTATAACGCTTTACTTTGAATTATTGACATTTTACATAAATGAAAGTATCTAATTTTTTTTAGTTATCACGACACAATGTCCAATGGACTCTCCCACGACATGTTGGGTGAATATCCTCCTCCAAAACGAGCACATCCATCTTTATTAGTTAATCCATCACCTCTGCTCATGCCTGTTCATCAGCATCAAGGATCTTACGACTATCAGGTAAATAATTATAATTATTTGTGAACATAAAAATTCAGTTATTGATTGTTGTCTATTATAGCATTTTCAGCCACTTGGGCCAAGTCATGAAGAAAGACGAGATTCAAATAATCAATTATCAAATGATCAAAGAAATGGAACTTGTGATGAGTGGAAAAATATTAATACTATGTTAAATTGTATTTTGTCGATGGTAGAGAAGACTAAGAGGGCTTTAGCTATACTTCAACAACGAGGTAAAAAAGCAATGCCGCTTAAATTTTATTGTTTAGTTTAAGTTTATTGTTATATTGTATTGATTCTTTTTAGGGGTTCCACAAGAAACTAATCCAGTAATGGAAAATAATGATATCCGACGATTAGTCAATGAAATATTATCAACTACGGTTCGTCAGACTGAAGAAAGAGTAGCTGAAGTAAAAAGAAGAGCTGAAGATGCCGTGAATCAGGTAAAATAGTATATTATCATTATTTTTTTAATAGGTTTAATTAACGTATTATAATTTACTCTAAAGGTGAAACGACAGGCGGTATTGGAATTACAACGGGCGGTATCACATGCAGAAAGCAAAGCACTTGAACTTGTGGCTTCGGAAAGAGCAAAAATGGAGAAAATGCTTTTAAGTAAGTAGAATATCAACCTGATATTTGTTTAAAGTAATATTGACTAATTATTTGTAACACATAATAGTTCACAAACAACCCCCAGATGAAAATAATATGGATAATCAAGAAAATAGTCGATCGCCGCCAGTTTCTAGTATGTCCCACCAAAATGTAAGATAATGGATACTGAATATGTAAAATACTATATTAGTGGATAGTATTAATAATAAATATTGAATATGATGTTAGGTTTGCTGGAATTGTGGACGGAAAGCAAATGAAACCTGCAGTGGATGCAATGTGGCTCGATATTGTGGATCATTTTGCCAACATCGAGATTGGGAAACTCGCCATCATCAGGTATGTACATGAATATTTTGTTAAAACATCTCCTTTACTTAAACTAACAATATTTGCGTTCAAACTGATAACTATAGCATCGTAATGTAGTTATCTTGTTTAATTTAATAAACATTGTGTCCTACTATTTAATCCTAATTGCGTCCCCCATTAGTTAAAATCCTCAAGTAAAATATGCATGCTAGCATTCTATTATCCCGATAATTATTTATAAATGCTATAATTCAGAACTGCGCGAGTCAGGACTCATCAAAAGCTGCACTACGACTACTGCCTACGATAAATAATACAACAATAGCAAATCCTGTCCCAACAGCAGCATCTGTTTCTATATCTACTAGTAATGGTAAATGCATACTTCCATCATCAAATTCATCAGGAAACGTAAGTAGTGTCTTATGCGGAAATAATAATCAAGAAAGAATACCCCCGTTAAAAAAATGACGCCGACGACTTCGCAAATAGACTTTGAGCGATGTATATAAATATTAGTCAATCGTTGATGTAACTTGTTTATATGTAAGGTTTTAAATTATGGGAATATTTGTGAAAATCAAAATATTCAGATCTTGGTGTGATTCTACTGACCAACTTTTTGTGAACTAGATTTGCCGACTCGGAACCATACCATATTAAACTAATTTTTTTTCTTGTTTTTATAAAATTACAACGTTTCAGGTAATTAATATATTAATCTAAGATTATTCTTAATGTTAGATTAGAAATAAAAAAAACACTTAATGGAGAAAATTGCACTACTATTCTAGAAGTGAGTTGCATCATATTATATGATTTTAAAAAAATCTAGTCAACTTAATATAAAGAAATGCAATTTTAAACTTGTAAATAAATGTATTAGATAATATATAAAAAATAACTTCTAATCTAAGTTATGTATAAAAGCGTTTGATAAGTTTTAATTTAATATCCAAAACTGTATAAATATAACACCTATTTGTTGTGTGCAATTGCATTTCCCATTTATGATAATACTGCAAAAATATTTGATCTTGATCTTATTAAAATTGTCAATTGACTAGTCATGTTGGAGAGATAAATATATACCAAAGAAGTTAACGGAATGTGAAGTGGAACCAAAAACAAAAATGATTTGATGATGAATACATATACTATTATTATATATGTATGTATAAATAAATAACTAATGAATTTGTTTGTAGGATAATTATTATGTTCAGTCTGTAATAAAATTATAATATACATACTGAAGACTTAACAGAACTACATTATTTAGTAATAATATCATCAAACATTTTTTTAATATTTGATTGTTTCTGACTGAGTTGTTCCCAATCTGTAGGACTCCTTTTATATAACTCCACATTATATTTAATGCCAATGATTCGTCCGATATCTGAGCCCATGAGTGGACCAACATTCTGAACTAATTCATTCATTATTTTGCTTTGTTGGCCTTTATTGCTCTTCTCCCAAATGTGCTCAAAAGCTCTAGATCCATATTTAGACATAGCCAAGTCAGAGAAGGTCCCCTTCATAAAAAATATTATATATGAATACAATATTTGAAACTTTAATATAGGATAGTTTTGTGATCCTTTTTACCTTTAATATTCTGCACATTTTCTCACGGCTTTTTTCTCCTATATACTGACTTTGGAAAAATACATCTGCTATATGGCTGCCTTTAGGATCACAAAATAATTTTAAGAGATCGTTAGGGCTCATTGCCATTAAACTATTTACAACTTTGATTGGTTTATTAAACAGCAACATTTCCTTTTAAAAAATATTAATAGTTAGTATAAAAGAAAATAATTTATACAATGTTTTTACTAACCTGTATTATAAAAGATCCATGAATGTTTATTACAAAAGTATTTACTTCTTCAGCTCGTGGTAAAGGTAATAGTTGAATTATCAGAGGTGCAAATTTGTATGATGTTTTATCATCATTACATTCCAGCATATTAGAGAAAACCTAAAAAGATAATTCACAATATTTATATACATATAACTACATGCATATATATTAATTCTAAAACTACTTACATTAATAAGTTTTGCTTGTTGAGTGCCCAATCTCCTGCAAGCTTTAGTTATTGAAAGCAAGACTCCAGTATGTCCCGTAGCTAAAATATCTTTAAATGATTCTGATAATTCAACAAAAATAGACTCGAGCTAAAAAATACATGCCCACATTATTACTATTACTTCGACAAGACTGCATGCTTAAATATTATTATACATACAATATCTTTATCATTACAATTATTGAGCAAATTCTGTACAGCAAAGTTACTGGATTTCTTTAAACTTAGTGCCCTCAAGTTTCCTACAAAACATTTTTTGTAGATATACTGAAAGAGTTTGTCATTGGAAGCATTTAATATACACTCTAGTAATCTTGTTGCAGGTTCTGAATCAAATACTGGAGGACCATAATTATCTTCGGCATTTGCTTCGGCGTTTTCTTTTTTGATAAAACTTTCCTTAACCAAATATTTTATCAGCTGTTTTTGTAATTTTGGTTGCCTATCTTTTATTGCAAATATCACAATTTGTAGAAAACCTGATGTTAATTCTGAATATGCAAAATCATTTAGCTGTGGCCATCTCAACAACCTAAAATAAAAATAATTGTACTGTTTGTATGAAAAGTATAATTATATTAAAGAAAATGTAGTAATGCAGTACCTCTGTACGTAATCTTCAACAATTTCATGCCACTCTGAACGAACATCAGAAAATGTATACATTTCTTTTTTATATCTACTTTTGTCTTCAACAGGTTTCATTCCTGCTAAACTCATAATGCACTGTCGGGTAATTCTGTTTGCAAAATTATCCCATATGAAGTCTTCCATATTATTGAGTAAATATTTACTTATTTTAATAGTAAAAAGGTTGCATTTTTCTACATGTTCTGAAGAGTATGTTTTAGCATTTTCTTCAGGTTTTATTGCAGATCTGTTTGAGCATACATCTACTAACTTTTGCAAAATATAACTAGCAAATCTATCACAGGATATTTTACGTAAGTCATCTGACATACAAGTCATCATGTGTTCTAAATTTTCTGGTTCTGCATCTGGCAGTATGCTTTCTATAACTCTACATCCAATCTGATTGTATGAATAATGGATTTCATTGCCTTTAATTTCTTCAAATACATTATTGACTAGGCACTCTGAAATTAATATTGATTATAAATAAACTGTGCTTAGAATTAAACATAATCTCATGTACTTACGCTTTTCCTCAGCATTTTCAAAGCCTGCTTTTAGAAGTTCTAAAACTCTAACAAAATACTGGTATACATCTTCATCTAAATGTGATCCTCTACCAAATTTTCCTTGCTTTCCATAACGTCTTGCATTCATTAACACTGATTTACCTCTTTTTCTTTTTTTTCTCTTATCTTCTTGTGATTGTGATTCTGCCATTACGTCTGTCAAACTATTTCCACTAATGAAAATAAACAATAATGTTTTTCTTTCGATAAATTATGTTTTGTAAAATGTAACCCTAAATATAAAGCTGATGAACATGTGGGTACGTTTGTCGAACTGTCAAAATCAGCCCATTATTTAGCAACAACCAAACAACATTCAAAAATAAATAAATAAAACTATATATATTTTTTAACAAAACTCGTCAATTGTGTTATTTTAATATTTGCTTAAATAAAATATATATTAAAGTATTTTCATATAAAATGTTTACAGAGTTTTCTTATAAAATATATTTGTATTTGATGATTAATGATGTTTCGTAATTTTTCCTTAATTTGGCACCACTGGAATGTGCGAAATCGGTTTTTCAACAAGCAAGAGGAGGAAAATCACGAAATGCAGGTGAAATAATTAATTATTATTTAGAATTTCGATTTATTGAATAGCGAATTAAATAAATCGGTTTGTAGATTAGAAATAGAATTTTATCTTTTATCGTTATCAGGAGTAGCAACTCAAGCGCACGCGTCTACTTATAAATTCGCTGAGCCCTCTCCACACTTGTGACTTGTTCCTTGTCAAGTCGACCGCATGTCATTATTTGTTCGCTACTCATTTTACGTAACGTTTTAGAAGTGTGTGGGTGTGGTGCTAATTTTAGCACCGTAGCGATCGTTTTTATTAAGTTTTTTTTATTTTGAGTAATAGTTTTAATATATTTTACCAAAATGTTGCATCTTAAGTCAATCACCAAAAGTGCACTGAAACATAACCCCTCCGAAGTGTCTACATTGGTCAAAGCTCTGCCAACGGCCATCCAAACGCGCTCTTACTCCGAGCACCAAATTCCCGATAGGCTGAAGGATGTCCCAACACATCCTAATCCAAGATTTTTCGACATGGTGGAGTACTTCTTCCACCGTGCCTGCCAGATCGTCGAATCTAAATTGGTCGAGGACATGAAAGGAAGCAAAATGACAGTTGAAGATAAAACTAAGAAAGTCAAAGGTATTCTTATGTTAATGCAGCCATGCGATCACATTTTGGAAATTGCTTTCCCATTGCGCAGAGATTCAGGAAACTACGAAATGATTCAGGGTTACCGTGCTCAACACAGCACACATCGTACACCAACCAAAGGAGGTATCCGTTTCTCAATGGATGTTTCCCGTGATGAAGTCAAAGCTTTGTCTGCTTTGATGACATTCAAGTGTGCCTGTGTTGATGTACCATTCGGTGGTGCTAAGGCTGGAGTCAAAATTGACCCAAAGACATACTCTGAACACGAATTGGAAAAGATCACAAGGCGCTTCACCTTGGAATTGGCAAAGAAAGGATTTATTGGACCCGGTGTAGATGTACCAGCCCCTGACATGGGAACTGGTGAACGTGAAATGTCTTGGATTGCTGATACATACGCTAAGACCATTGGACATTTAGATATCAATGCCCACGCTTGTGTTACTGGCAAACCAATCAACCAAGGAGGTATTCACGGTCGTGTCTCTGCAACTGGACGTGGTGTTTTCCACGGCTTGGAGAACTTCATCAATGAAGCTAACTACATGAGCATGATTGGAACAACACCTGGCTGGGGTGGCAAAACTTTCATTGTCCAAGGTTTCGGTAATGTAGGTTTACACACTTGCAGATACTTGCACCGTGCTGGAGCCACTTGTGTTGGAATTATTGAGCATGATGGTTCAATCTACAACCCAGAAGGTATTGACCCTAAGGCTTTGGAAGATTACAAAACCGAACACGGAACTGTTGTTGGATTCCCAGGAGCCAAACCCTATGAAGGAGAAAATTTGATGTATGAAGAATGTGATATCTTTATTCCAGCTGCCATTGAAAAAGTTATAAATGCAAGCAATGCACACAAAATCCAAGCCAAGATTATTGCTGAAGCTGCCAACGGACCAACAACACCTGCTGCTGATACAATTTTGATCCAAAGGAATATATTGGTCATCCCTGACTTGTACATCAACGCTGGTGGTGTCACCGTATCCTTCTTCGAATGGTTGAAGAATTTGAACCACGTATCATACGGAAGATTGACATTCAAATACGAAAGAGAATCCAACTACCACCTTTTGGAATCAGTGCAAGAGTCTTTGGAACGTCGCTTTGGAAGGGTTGGTGGTCGCATTCCAGTCACCCCATCAGAGAGCTTCCAGAAGAGAATTTCTGGTGCAAGTGAAAAGGATATTGTACATTCTGGCTTGGACTACACAATGGAAAGGTCTGCAAGAGCTATCATGAAGACAGCAATGAAATTCAATTTGGGATTGGACTTGAGAACAGCAGCATATGTAAACTCTATTGAAAAGATCTTCACAACTTATGCTGAAGCCGGTTTAGCCTTTTAAGATTAATTATAGCATTTTACTTATAGATAACGATACCAGTGAAAAATCATTACATCAATAAGCTCATAGTGCAAAGTTCCTTGCCAGTTTAATTTGTTTTACATATTTAAATTTATTAATCTGTACATGAAAAATCACTCATTAGAACATAATGTAAATGTTATAATATTTGCACAATCAAAGTAATAATGTAAGCACGCAATATGTGAAGAACGTGAATGGTAATAATCTTTATACATTTATTTGTTTAATATAAATGAATAAATGTATAAGTTTGAATTTTATGTTACTATAATATGTATTCAAGCAATAAATTTCTGCGTGGTAATTTTAATTCGCGCGTCGTTAACCTCATAATAATAACTTATTCTTATGTACATATGTATTTAAATAAAACTCTGTCCGATATATATTATGTATCTTTATTTTATTTTAGCTTATTTTCTTTACAGGTCTTTACAATATTGGCTTTTACATAACCATGTTGCCCTTTACATAATATTCAGTTGTATCACGAATATTTTTAAATGTGGCCTAAATAATTATTCATTATAATGAGATAAGGTAAAAACAGTGTGTTACTATGTGTCGGCATACGAATGCGTATCTGACGGTCGTAAATTCGAATCGCGTGTCGAAAGACCTTGGCGGTTATATTTTGGCGGAGGTCGCGCTAAGGTCTAGTTTTTAATATTAAAAAATGTGTAGCATCACACAATATATCGACTGTTTACATAACAAATTAGTTACAAATATCTTATATACATACAATTTTCTCGAGGTCGAATCAATATTAATAAATTGTATTTATTCAATTGAAAATCTAATGCATATTGCCATAGGAAAATCGTTTCGTGTTAATTGCTTGAGATGTGGATTTAAGATTATGCATATTTATTTATTTACGTAACGTGATAAATGAAGCACCTGTTTTATTTGAAAAGATCGATAATAAATGAGGCTAATCCCTTATCAATCTTACTTTTTAGTGATTGATTAGATGAATGAAAATACTTGCGCAATCGGTAAATCATCAATTGTATAAAGAAAAGATTATCCTTGGAACATACTGCACACTTTTTTTACATTAACTATTCAATAAAATTAATTTTGCAAATGTTCGACACTTGCCAATAAAAGTGTGATTTAATATTTTTTATTAACTGATTATTGGAAGTTAATACACAATATATATATATATATATATATATATATATATATATAAACGTTGAATATTCATCCTGCCTTATTGTATCATATTTTTTGTTAATTATTTTATAAATTTTAGATATTTATTAAATTATATGATGTTTTATGATGAGAAGAGTCAAGCAGGACTCTTATCTAGAAGATTACATATAGAAGACGTACAACAAATTTAAATATTAAAATATAAAATATAAAATGAGCTTTTCTTCTTACTAACTGAATGGAATCATGGTAAAACACTTTTTTCCTTTAATATATATATATGTGTGTGTGTGGATGTGTTTATCTACAGCTGTTATTATAAATGATTTTTAAATTTCTTAATTAAATATTCGCCTTTTTTCATCATAAAATATATGTAGTATATCCCCATCTTCATGAGCTATTGATGAGAAATATTTTTCACATTTACACACAAATTTAATTATTTAATTTTTTTTATCATTTTTTTATTCTATGAGCTGCTATGCTAAAGTATATAAACAAAAAAGAATAAACTAAATAAGAATAAATAAAGATAATAACATAAAAATAGTAATTAATAATAATAATAATAGATAATAATATAATACATTAACACAAACAAATACATTAAATTAACTAACATATTTTGATGATTTACTATAAAAAATATAGAAATTGTTCCATTAAACAATTTGCTAGATTAGGATATTATCCATTGGTGATTATTTAAAAATTGAAAGAATTTATACTTCTTGTTCTTCATAACAAAGGAGTTCAGAAAATTAAAAATCATAATATATGCATCATATAACGATATGGCATATTTTTGAGACAAATATTTTTTGATAAAAACGAATAAAAAGTGAGCTATTTACAAATAAAATTTTGGAAATATAAATAACATTAAAAAGAAATATTTTTGGGAGTAGAATTCAATAATCACGTGATGAAAAAACAATTTTTTTATCAAATAAAATTCAACTGACGTAGTATATAATATATATGCAGATGGCATTCATAATCATTTAGATATTTCTAAAGCATGTCAACAAAACCAACTAACTTGCGCAATTGTAAATTATTTGAATTTAATTACGCACAAATGAAATACATTATGGCATACATATTAATTAGCAACGTCCATTTCAACCTGGTGATTTTGATTAGGAATAGTTTGTTTAATAAACCTTCAATTAAAATTAATTATATAATTATAAATCGATAACTATTTGTAGAATCGAATATGTATATTTAGATAATTAGTTTCAAGATTCAATTTTCAGAATCTGAAGTAATTATGATCAACCTGATGAACTTTACATTAATAATTTCAAAGCAATCGTTTACCGATAAAAGTTGACATTGGAAAATGTCACAAGATTAGATATTTAAAGTATACCTGTTTCCTAGCACATGTGACATTTATAAAATCATATACCTTCTAATATATATAAAAATAAATCGCAAAATGTGTTGGTAAGCCCATAACTGAACAACGCCTGGACTAATTTGGCCAATTCTTTTTTTAAAATGTTCGTTGAAGTCCAAGGATGGTTCTTACGGTGTGAAAAAATCGAATAATTGTTGGGAAAACCCTAAAAACAGCCCTTTTCTTTTTCTCATACAAACGTTTTCTAACTAAAACATAGAATCAATTTGAGCTTTATTGCTATTAAAGTTCATATTAAATTACAAGCACTCACTGTATACTCCTTTTAAACCATTATTCGGTATTTGATAAATCTTTCTGAAGTGTGTTAAGGAAATTTTCTAGGTTGTATGTGATTATAAAGTACTGGGATTTATGTGCAATATTGTACAAATAAATAGAAAAAAATGAAACAAATGAAAACTATCATTTGCCAAAAATTTCAATTTACTTATGAACCTAGACAATGTTAGAATATGTATAATAAATTTATGATTATAAATGAAAAAAATGAAACGTCTACATTATTATTGCCAGAAATTAAAATATAAAATACAATATATGTATGGCAGATTTAATGATACACATATGAACAGGATATGACAAATTAATTCACTTAAAATATGAAATTAAGTATTAATCAAGGTCCTACCTTTAATGCGATGCATGCGAAAAATACGAACGGACGCCTTAGGGGGCGCCAACACAAGATTCGGATATTATATTTTCAATATAGTTTTTTTTCAATATATAATTTCTTTCGGTCTTTTACTTTTCTTTCCACAATATTTTTAAAATTCGTAAAATTTTCACTTTATTTATAACAACAAATGGGAAAGTAAAGATGAATACATACGATTCGGTCTTCACGATATTGATTAGGAGAAGTTTAAGATGCAATTTTGGATATCTTAAATCATAAAAAATTAAATTAATTTAATCTAACATGAAGTACCAGTGTTATGTTATGGTTATGGTTATGTTATACCGTTTAAAAGACTTTAATTTCCTATATAGTGTGGGAATTGAGACTCATCATTTCATTTAAAGCAGTTCTACATTTAACATCGCTCATAATATAAATGTATATGCATTTTAGCGTGAAGAGTAATTTAAAAAACAATATTTATTATTTTTAGGTAAACGGTAAATATTAGTATATTATATTAAAAAATTGTAGACATGGGTACATGACAACGTCTGTCGGGTCATCTAGTATGCATATATAAAATTAGCAAATCAGATTTCTAATGAAAAATTACATTATTAATATAAGAGGAGCAGAATTTAATACATTTTGATTACGTTTTAATATTAAAAAATCTTTCGCATGTGTTTACGATTTCAAACAGAACTATTTTTAACAATTCTTGCTGCTATTTTTAAAATGTGTCGAACGATATTTATATCTGGCTTTGTGATATAATTCTGTATTTCAAAATTAAATTAAATGAGCCACTTACACCTAAGTAATTTATTGATGAATTTAGGAGCATTGAGTTTTAAACAATTTCTCCTTATTAAATTGTTATATAATTTCTCCTAACATCTAGAGATTTTATCCGTTCAAAGAATCGTGCCATATATATTTTTATCATTTGATAAGATACTTGTAAAACAAATATTTTCATATTGTTACCACACCATTTGGACACTGCGACAAAAAATTAATTTATCGTCACATAAATAGATAATCGTCAATGTATTAATCTGTTTAAATGATAAATACACATATATATTGAGCAATATGCTTTAAAAATTTTAATGGAACGAATATTATATATGTTTTACTTGAAGATTATATCATTTCTTTTATCTTTTAGGCGAAGTGATTTTGGTTTTATCACTTTTTTTGACTTGATTGGATTTAGGTAAATTTAAAATGCGTTACTAGGCAGCAACCGAACTAATAAATGAAATTTAAAATTTCCAAAGACCCAAAATAAAATAACAGTATTAATTATAATATTGAAACATTATGCACTTGATGAGATGATAAAGTATTTTTTAAATTTATGAATAATAAACATTTCACATTAATCATTATACAAAAATATAAATTTTGAATAAATATAATGATCAAAATAAATCAGTTTAAAATATAATAACAGAAACATAAAAGTAATATAGTTCATTACTGCGTTACATTTAATGAGAAATTATTTATAATATTAAGTATTAAAAACAAATATCGAATTTTGAAAATCTAGTTTTATGATGTATATATAATCAAGTTCCTCTCAATTTATATAATATATATATATATATATATATATATATATATATATATATATGATATATATGAGCCAAATTATACCTTCATTTCTAACATTTTTTAAAAAATATTTTAAGTTTATCTTTTAACATAGTTGCTGATCTTAAATAATCAATATTCTTGATGAATAGACAAGAAATTGGAGACTTACAATATAAAAGTATAAAAATTATTTAGAGGGTTTTAATATTTATGTAATTTAACATATATAAAATATCTATTTCAGGTCTGATATATAATACATTGCAATGATTGATCCATAAACGACTGCAATATTTTGATAAATCTGAATATATAGAATTATTATATTATAATACAGAAGACCAAAATCTCAGATAATAGAGAATAAATTTTATTTATTGGTTCTACAGATTCAGGTCTGATATATTATTCATTACAATGATTGATCCATAAACGACTGCAATATTTTGATAAATCTGAATATATGGAATTATTATATTATAATAGAGAAGACCAAAATCTCAGTTAATGGAGAATAAATTTTATTTATTGGTTCTACAGATTCAGGTCTGATAATATATTGCAATGATTGATCCATAAACGACTGCAATATTTTGATAAATCTGTATATATAGAATTATTATATTATAATACAGAAGACCAAAATCTCAGTTAATAGAGAATACATTTTATTTATTGGCTCTACAGATTCAGGTCTGATATATAATACATTGCATTGATTGATCCATAAACGACTGCAATATTTTGATAAATCTGAATATATAGAATTATTAATACAGAAAACCAAAATCTCAGTTAATAGAGAATAAATTTTATTTATTGGTTCTACAGATTCAGGTCTGATATATAATACATTGCAATGATTGATCCATAAACGACTGCAACATAAAAAATCTGAATATATAGAATTATTATATTATAATACAGAAGACCAAAATCTCAGTTAATAGAGAATAAATTTCATTTATTTGTTGTACAGCTTCAACTTCAGCCTGACTGTAATGTTTGGATGTGGTTTTTATTCATTTTTATGCTCTGGAAATGCATCTTTATAAAATATTTAAGTACAGGTTTTCTAATCGATCAATCTATCAATAATTAATAAAAGCATTAATGGGTTAATAGTATAATATATGTACAGCAATCTATCCTTATTGGTTTAATTCATTATATAAAATTCAAAAAGATGTCTTACTATTTAAATATGGATTCTGTACTATATATTTCTATTAACTCAATATACAAATCTAATTAATTCTTCCAAAATTGAATCTTGTTGAGTTTGTAATTGCATTTGATGTTTTTGAATTTGAATTTCGTACGTTAATGAATTTCTCAGAAGTAGGTTGGAACAATCGTGTCATCGGGCAATACTAATGCCGAACTGAACAGCAAGGCGGCCGCCATGACGAAATTTGAGGAAAATTAAAGTAGAAAATTGTAATGGTGGCATCATGCAGACATTCAAGTGATTCAATGCTGACAACTTTTTCAAAAAATTCAATTTTCTCTCAATGTAAACATAATCGTTGATTATAATAATATTAAGGTAAATTTATTTATGTTTAAAGACATGAATTAGAGTTATCTAATTTCCCAAGAGCGTCTCCTTAGCTTTCTAGCAGCACTCATACAATCCCTCCCAAATTTTTGGTTTTTTGTTTGTCATAACATTATTATGTTTAAAGACTGTAGTTACTTAGGAACTTTTTGATATTTCTTTACTAAATACCAATTGATTCAGTCGTCAATAATTCCCCATTTACTGTTTTGACATAAAGACGCCTGCTTGTGTGAAGAAGCTAAAATGATGCAATTAATAGTTGTAATTATATATTTTCATATTTATTACAAAATTTATAGGTTTCAACAATGGAGGAGAATTCCCTAAAACATTGTTTTTTATGTCACACTAGGATTGGGATATTGAATAAACCAGCAATAGATATATTTTCAGAAGAGGTACAATTTAAAATACAATTCTGATATCCAGAGTTATATTATTATAAATGTCTTTCACTCTTTTTGGATCAATTAGTGTTTTACTATTACTAGGTTAACTGTCAAAATATAATAATTTATCTCTGGGTTCAGAACTAAATTGAATTATATTCTTTTACTTATTCAATTTTTCTTTTTAGAATCAGACTTGTGCTGAAAGGCCTTTAATGTCAGCTATAGTATCAATTTTAGGAATAGATATTAAACCATTAAGTGTGCACTCTACATCAGTTTGTGAGCCATGTAGAAAAGCAGTCAACGAGTATGATGAACATGAGATGAGATTATCGGAACTTAAAGTAGAAATAATTTCTAACTATAATAGGACTATTGTTAAATATAATGGGATACCCATAGAAGTAGAACACGAAGTGGAAGTTTTAGAATATAGTGATGGTATTTTATCTTATTAAATTTTAAATCAACTTATATCTAGTTTGTTTATTGATATATTTAATATAATTATAGACGATAATGAAGAACAAAACTTCAATCAATATAATGACATAATAGAAGAAATTGATAATGAAGCAGAAGATGACCAAATAGAATATTCAGAAGATGCAGATAGGGTATGTTTTATATAATAAACATTTTTTCACATTTGCTAATACCTTTTATTATTTATTCTAGGATATGTCTATTGAAATGCAGCTAGAGAAACTACATAATTCAGATGAAAATACAGAAGTTAATAAGATTTCTTTTGAAGCAAATGTAGTAAAAGATGTTGCACATAAAACTGGTAATAATTTAAAGCATGTCAAATAAGATATTTATTTTTTAAATAAGATTATTTAGGTTAAAATTTCTAATTAGAAAAGATTAGGTTATAATTTTCAATTATTATATTTTTTTGTAATTTTGATTTATAAATTTGTTACTATTTTTTGTAATTACAAGTATTTGATAAGCTAAAATATGTATGGTTTTTATTTTGGTGCTTGTGATCCCTTAGTTCAAGATTTTGAAGAACAAATAACAATCCATGAGTTAGATGCAACTGGTGCCCCAGTAGGGGGTGCTACTTCTGGTAATGAAAAAGACGGGGAAGGTATATAATTAAAAATTAATGTAATTATTTTAAGTTTTATTTGTTTTTACAATACTGATGCTTGATATTATTTTTATAGATAATGAATCTCATGATATTATAAGTATTAAACTGGAACCAGATGATGACTACTCACCTAGGACAAATATGATGAAAAAGAGACGATTGCCTATTAAGAAAATTAAAGAGGAAACTGAACAATTACAACCGGTAAATGGGATATAGCTAGATCTACAATATATGCACATTTTCTGTCAAATCTTATTTTAAAATTATAATAATGAATTATTGCAGTTGGTGACCCTAGATAATTCTGTGTACACCTGCCTATTATGTCCACAAGCTGAAAATAATGACAACACAACAAATGACAGAACGTTTGATGCAAAAGCTATTGTTTTACATATGAAAACTCAACATGACCAAAGGATATATGTTTGTGATGTTTGTGGGAAAGACTTCAGGAAAAGAAATGAACTTAGTGAACACTTAGGTTGTTTATTATATTTTTAATCATGGATAACATGAATTCATAGAATATTTATCATGTTTGCTTTTATAACTAGATGAGCATGTGGCATTAGAAGAAGGTGATTTTCAATGTGAAACATGCAACAGGATATTTTCCAATTTTCGTTTATTTAGGATTCATAGGAGAATGCATTACCCAACTAACAAATCTTGGTCTTGTGATGAATGTGGGAAAAAATACAGGTTAGTTACAACATTCAAAATACACTTTATTTAAATTCAATATTTACAATTTAAGCCAATACAATTATTATTTTTATCACATATGATATTGAGACTATAACAATATCTAGATATTTATGAATATTTTGTTATATATGTATATATAACAATATATACATATTATATATATATATATATATATATATATATATATATATATATATATATATTATATATATATATATATATATATTTGATTTTACAGTTCCAGAAATCTCCTTTATGAGCATATGAACACACACACAGGTAAACGTCCATACCAATGTGAGCAATGCTCGAAATCATTTGCATCAAAATATACGATGGCTGCCCATATGAAAACACATACAGATAGGCCTAGGCCTTATCAATGTTCTCAATGCACTAAAGCATTTTTTAGTCAACAGAATTTAACACAGCATGAAAGAACTCATTCAGGAATCAAGGATTATATTTGTAAAACATGTGGTAACTATGAATTCAATATTTAGTTTGATATTGAACAGCTTAGCAGAGATTAAACATATATATGGTAATTATTTTTTCACAGGTAAAGGATTTGGTACACCACACAACTTAGAAGTGCATAATATTGTACATACTGGCTACAAACCTTTTATTTGTCGTACTTGTGGAAAAGTATGTATATTTGGAATTGTTAATTAGATTACATAATTAAATTTCTTTCCCTAACTCATTTTTTTCTAGGCGTTTGCCCGAAGAGCTGAAATTCGTGATCATGAACGAACTCATACTGGAGAAAGACCATATTCATGTGATATTTGTGGAGCAAATTTCTCACAAAGATCAAATTTACAAAGTCACAAAAGAGCAACTCATTTTGATGACAAGAGGCATAAGTGTGAATTATGTGAAAAATGCTTTAAAAGACGTAGATTGCTAGATTATCATATTAAAGCTACACATACGGGTGAACGGCCTTTTAAATGTAATGTTTGTGAGGCAGCCTTTGTTTATCCTGAGCACTTTAAAAAACATCTGAGGATACATAGTGGAGAAAAACCTTATCTTTGTGAGGTAAAATTCTATAATTACATTATTAATCTTATTTATTGCATAATGTATATGAGGCTGATGTAATTTGTTATTGTAGGTATGTGGAAAAGCTTTTAACAGTCGTGACAATAGAAACGCACATAGGTTTGTGCATAGTGATAAAAAGCCATATGAATGTTTGGTTTGTGGTCAAGGATTCATGAGGAAGCCTCTACTTTATGCTCATATGCAATCTCAAGGGCATCTTAATGACACGATTGTTGTGAATCAGCCAAGATTACAAACAGATGATTTTACACTAAACACCGATCATGAAGCTAAAATACAATGTATAGCAGGAGATGAAAATGATATAGCAACAGCAAGTATAGAAGAAACTGATGGAGTTTTTCTCACAGATCTTAAAGATCATGTAATAATACAAGGTAATAATTGGAAACAAGAATCATTAATATGAATTGATCATACTTTATTAATTTTTTTCGTATTTAATCAGATGGTGACAACATTTATGCAACAGAAGCTTCCAACATACATAACATAAACGAACTCACATCTCAGCCTGCTTCTGATGATGAAAATTTAGTCATTGATGGAAATCAAATAAGATTTAGTGATGAAACAAATGATGGAGACCAAATGGGTATTACACAGATATCTATAGATGATGATGGTGTGGAATATGCAGATGTAAGCAATATATTATTATTATTATTATATATACATATATATATATATATATTTATATATATATATTATATATTATTATATATATATATATATATATATATATATATATATAATTTAGTTGTTAATTTTGATGTTGAGATATATGAGTAAGTTCTTGTGGGGCGATACATCAAAGAATAAAAAGCAAAGATTTATGAATTAATCTTTAATTTCAAACGTTTCGACATTCAATTTAATGTCATCATCAGTGGATCTAAAAACAGTATGAAAAATTAGTATATCTTGGTAATTATAATATATGTGGATTGGTATAGTATCTATAAAATAAGTGAAAAATTAACAAAACAGCAACACTTAACAATAAACAAAATATAAAAGATATAAAAGGTAATAGAAATTAGAAATTGAATAAATAAAAAAAAAGAATATAGGCATAAATTTATAAGTACACATATATGTATATTTATATAAACCTATGCATAATATATATATATATATATATATATATATGTATATATATATACATACATACATACATACATACATACAAACATATATATATACACATATACATATACAAATACATATACATATATATATATATATATATATATATATATATACATACATACATATATAAATTAAAGGAATAAAAGATTAATTCATAAATCTTTGCTTTTTATTCTTTGATGTATCGCCCCACAAGAACTTACTCATATATATATATATATATATATATATATATATATATATATATATATATATCAATCCATTTTTGTTTTTCTAGCAATATCTTCAAGTAATAACAGATGATTTGGATGCAGAACAGATAGAAATTATATCAAATCAACAAAGGACGATACAAACAAGTAATGGTCCAGTTCAATTAGTTCAAATTAGAATACCGGGTCCGGATGGTAAAGAAGACAAGGCCTGGGTTAATCTTGTAACATCAGATGAAGCTTAATTCTAAACTTAATGTATATTTAATTGTACTAGATTTTAAAATAAATAAGTGATTCTTCATTAATGTTCTGAGTTAACTATCCTAACTGTGTTAGAAGCTCTTTATTTCTATTTATTTGACATATTAGGTAGTAAAAAATATATCTTTGCTTTATACTTAATTAGATGTGTTCATCAATCTGAAATGGAAATCATAATTATAAATGCATACATCGTTAGATATATAAATATGAATTCAATACTAAATCTTTTTCAGGATTTTGAAAGCATATTCAAATATCCCACCATATCTTTGGCCATTGTGGTGCATACAACGGTAAATTGGATATATAAATGTATATATTGCTTTTTCCATCATAATACATGGACTAGCTGCATTAGTTTGTATGGGAAATGGATATATAAATGTATATATTGATATTCCTTCAAAACCGAGACGATAATTATATATTTAATGGCGTATAAAACGATATATATATTTATGTATTGATAATTCTCCTAAGCCAAGACCATAATTAAAGACCATCTAGTAACGTAAAAAGCGATTAAAAAAGATATTTGTCCTAAGCCAAGAACATAATTATATATGTAATGGCGTATAAAGCGATATATAAATGTATATATCGTTATTTCTCGTAAGCCGGGACCATAATTATATATAAAAGCGTATTAAGGAGTCCAATAAGATTCCTAGATTCATAGAGGCGATTGCATGCAGCGCCTCTATGCAAAATCGTTCCCAGTTTTTGAGGAACTAACGTCAAACGTTTGACAGTTCTTGCGTAAAAAGGAATCCAATAAGATTTCTAAGCTCCAACGGTGATTGCTTGCAGCGCCTCTATGCAAAATCGTTCCCAGTTTGTGAGGAACTAACGCCGAACGTTTGACAGTTCATATCCAATTGGAATCCATGGTCTACTTATATATATACTAGCTGGCCTAGTTTGTATGGGAATTGGATATATAGATGTAGATACAGAATTATACATTATTAGACTTAAAAACTTCTTGCAAAAATAATGAAATTAGATATATAAATGTATATAATTATTATGTATCATATTATTATATTATCATTAAATAATATATATTTAAAACATTGTAATTTTGCTAATTACATATGAGTATATTTGTAATATTTTGTATTTATATAAATAAATATTTAAGTAATTTAATTTGAATTTTTTTTAATTTAATAGATGTGTAATTTATAGAATTTTTCAGGTTGCTTTTGGCAAACAATAATTAATAACGATAAATAATTTGACAAACAATTATTAATAGCTCTATATATTAATTTTATTTACTTAATTTCAATCATACATAAATATCCATTTACATAAAGATATATTAATTTTATTTTATATGATACTCAATTTATTCAAAAATCGATTATTAATATTTTTTAAATTAATTTAAGTTTTTAAATTAAATTATTCAAAAATCTTATCCTTTCGCAACGATAGGAAGAGCCGACATCGAAAGAGTGAGTCTTCATAGTAAACTGGGTCTGTAATCGTTGCGAAGTATCAGGCGAACAGACACGCTCAGAATATATATATGATAGTATAGTACTATTCGCGCGGTCTATAGAGCTCGCGTACCCTTCATACATTTCATACATTTTCATACGAATTTTTCGGCCGATCTATTAGGGTAGCAGACACATTTTCAATCAAATTTCGCTCGTATTTCACAGGGCCGTCTGCTGAAATGTTAGGGGTAATTATTTTGAAAATAAAAAATGCAATTTATTGTTTTGGGATATTTTGATAGGTTTTGTTGCTGGAAATGGTTTTTTAACACTAATATTATTATATGAACATTGAAAAAAGTAGTAAATGTTGAAAATGTAGCAGATGTTTGCATAATTTAGTTATTCGTGTATACACAGTACATTTTTTGACCTTTCGTCAACGTTTTCAGGAGAACGGCTGTACCGATTTCAAAAATTTAAAAAGCATCGGATGTGGCTTGATGAGGACTCTACCCGATTAGTTTTTTGTGACGATCGGTGAAGCCATTTCTTCAAAATTAGTGTAAATGTGTAAAAAATTTAATCTACGATTTTTCTAAAATCCTTGAATCGAATTTAAAAATTGAAAAACTATTCGAAAGATATTTTTGGGGAATCATAGTTTATAGTTTTTGGTAAAGATCAGCTGGGCCGTTTCTTTGTAATTAGTTAATTAATGTGGAGCAAAATTTATTTTGCTATTAATTTTTTTAAATTATACACATAGTATATTCCTAAACTAATATAACATATATTAGTAATATTTTGATTAATGCAATTATTATAATTATGTGTTTTTCCGACTTTTTAAAATAATTTACATATTTGTTTTATTCAACATATAAAGATGTTCAAAATGCGGTCCTGGTTTCTTGTTAAATGTAGTCCTGCTTTCTGATTGGTTGCCTCGTTTTGACAGCTCCAAATATATAAATGGCGGACAATTCTCGTTACTTCTTACGAAAATGCTCTTGTAATCGCTTCGAAGTATCAGGCGAACAGAAACGTCAGAATCTATATATGAAAGTGTAATGTTACTCGTGCACAATGTATGGTGTGACCCTGTGTGACTATAACGAATTCAAATAGCCCCAATGTAAGTACAAATTGATTATCATTATGATTATTATATTTCAAATGGAATTCAATCAATTCCTATTTTTATGATTATTATTAAAACTTATTTCTATGTTAATTATTAAAATTAAACTTTTAATTAAATTGTTACATCGATGTAGTTATCTAGTAAAAATGATCACTTTCTAGTGTTTCTTGTAATAAATCTATATTCTTTCCACAGGTGCTTATAACTTGTAAGGAAACAAGAAAGAAAATATTAAATGAAATATATTATTCATGAATTATGTAGAGGCATACCATTTTGTTGTATTTAACCGTCTTCTCAGAAATTTACATTAAACAGAAAAACAGAGATGATGAATAAAAGATCGAGTAAGTCTTGCAACATTTTATATACTATTATATATAATAGTTTTAGGAAGTTTAATTTTATTCATATAAAAACTTAAATATCGAACTACAATTCCAATGAATTTACCAATTCATGTGATAATAGAGTAAAATGATAAATCAAAGTAATAATGCCAGTATATTAAACTTCAGTTTTAGTTACATAAAACGCCAATATTTTTTAATGAATTGAGTTAAAAAAATGATGAGAAATATACTTAAAATTATTTAACAAACACAAGTTTGTACAAAAGTACATTTTATTTGCCATAATCTAAGAAAATATCAAACATACATATATCAATTGAAAATTCATTGAAAATTGATATTGATATGCTTTAAATATTAGTTTAACTTTTAGAATAGAATTATTTATAAATAATAAGATAGTGCACATAATATATATGAAACATAGAAGTATATAGCACATATTTATTTTACAGTGTTATGGAATCCATTTGCAAATATTTAAACTCTAGAGAAAAATAATTGTTCAGGAAGGAAACAGAGAGTTATTTCTGTATATATATATTAATGACATGCGAATACATTTCAATCAAGACTAAATTGTGCTAGTTTATAGAAAAAGGGAATAATGGAGAAACATATTGCATACAAGAAAAAATATAACCGACTGAAGCGGTTTATGATAGACAAATACATCACCTTTATTGTAAGTCTACAGATTCTTTTTTGGCAAAATGAATATTTTATAATAATGATTTATTCTTTAGGAAAATACTGCTCCAAAAGTGCACTAATGTAGTAAATAAATAAGCCTTTTTACAAATTTTTATATATGGCTATACTAATTAACATAAGTGTGTATATACAGAACATGATTGTAATATGTAATATAAACTCAGTACACGATGCATAGAGTTAGTCAGCAAGAATCCCGGGTTTGGTATAAGCCTCCTCCAGAGATGCCCATGCTTCTCTATCTTGTGCTGTATCTCTCCAGATCGTGCCAGCTGTTCATCTCAGGTCCTCTTCCCATCTGGTAAGTGGTCTTCCATGATTTTGCTTACCCGCTGGACCATTCCACGATGTTACTCCCTTTGACCATCTTTTATCTGTGCATCTCACAACATGCCCGACCCATCTCCATTCTTGTTTTAATGCATAAGTTACAGCATCGGTTGCTTTTGTGATCCTTCTTATCTTGGTATGTCTGATTTTATTCTGTAAGCACTAATGCAGTACAAGATTCTAATTGTTAGTGAAGAAGTAATATATTTATTGAAATCATTATTGATGTATTTGATCACCTGAAGGAAATCTTAAAACAATTATATTCTGAATTTTAAAAATGATTTGTATATAAATCTGTTGAATTAAGAGATGATCCTATACTGACATATAAAGTTTTAATGAAAGATAATTCAATGATCTGATTATCTAAAATATCTAGTAAGTACTATCCAGTCTGATTATCTAAATATTCATTGATTATTTTTATTATATTCTAAGTTCAATCTCAATATAGCCGACTGAAGCGGTTTATGAAAGACAAATACATCGTCTTTATTGTAAGTCTACAGTTTTTTTTTTGGCAAAATGAATATTTTATAATTTAAGAACATACTGCTCCAAAGGTGCACTAATGCAGTACAGGATTCTAATTGAGAGTGAAGAAGTAATATATATTTATTGACATCATTATTGATGTATTTAATCACCTGAAGGAAATCTTGAAACAATTATATTCTAAATTTCAAAAATGATTTGAACAAATCTGTTGAATTAAGAGATGATCCTATCCTGACATATGAGGTTTTAATAAAAGATAATTAAATGATCTGATTATCTAAAATATCTAGTAAGTACTATTCAGTCTGATTATCTAAATCCAGTCAATTAATTGATTATTATTATAATTCTAGGTTCAATCTAGTAAAAATTAATACTATCTAGTGTTGCAGATGTCTATATAATATTATTCAAAATGCTATTTCTTGAAATAAATCCATGTTGTTTTCGCAGGGGTGTATAACTTATAGAAAACGAGAAATATCAAGAAATTAAATCAAATATATTATTAATGAATTATCTAGAGACATACCATTTCATTCTATTTAACTGTATTCCCAGAAATATAAATTAAATTGGAAATCAGGATTGATTAATAGAAGATTATAGGTTGGAGTAAGTTTTGCAATATTTTACATACTATTATAGAATATTGTCAAGTGCTATTAATTATTAATAAATAAATATTAATTATAAAATAATTATTGTTTGTTGAGTACTGTTTTAGTAAGATTTTTTATTATTCACATAAAAACTTAAATATCTAACTATGTTTCCAATTATATTTTGCAATGAATTAACTAATTTTTGCTAATATATAATATATATGCTTCTGTGTTAATCACATAAAACCACGCAATATTCTTTGAATGAATTGAGTTAAAAAATATTAAGAATTTTATATAGTTTATTTAGCAAATGCAAGTTTGTGGAAATGTACTTTTTGCTCAAAATAATGTAAGAAAATATCAAGTATATATTGGAATGGTTCTGCGGAACATAAGAACAAACTAAATGGTACAGATGAGCAATTCAATTGAATTGAGATTTGTGTTCTTGAATTTGCTTCTGATGAAGATGAATATTTTAAGCACATCAACTTCAACTCCCATGGATCTTATAGGTAAATTTAGAATGATTATTTTAAATGTTTGATTTAAAACCATCGACTATATCTAAATGTTGATATTGACTTATATGACAATATAAGTTTATATGAATAATGTTGCTAAACAATGCTGTAGGGACTGCACTATACATTGAGCAAGAGAACAAAATATAAATTTAAATAATATAAGGATTAAATATTGATTTTAGGTAACATATGTTTTATATAAAATGGTCGCACACTGCCACTTCAGATCTAACTACTATTCTTGATCTTTGTAGGTTTTTACAAATGATTAATTACTACAGGAAATTTATACCTCAGGTCGCATACTTGATGTACTACTAAATAATTATTGAATATAATCAATTGTAAAGGATAAACAACTTGGAACTCTGATTTTAGAGGGAATTAGAAATGCTCTGGCAAAAGCAACTTTGCTTCAATATCATCTGCTACAGCACAACTAATACAAATATTTTACAACTGATGCTTCAGCATCAGCAATAGGTGCAATCTAGGATAAAGAAGATAATCAATCAGATTTTTCTTTAGAAAACTAGTAAAAAATTATTCTAGTTATGATAGGGAATTACTGGCAATCTTTGCTTCTCTGAAATTCTTTGAGTATCTTTTAGTATAAACTGTTGGACTTAATGCTAAGATATTGTAATCAAAACTTATTCTTCTCCTGTTTTTTCCCTTTGGTATGGAGTTACATTTTTAAATTTGGTGTTCCTTTTAGACGGAACGATTAATTCGTTAACGGATCGAAAACGGCTCACAAAAACCGTTTGTTAATTCGACTTTATGTCATGTCATGTCATGTGTTGACAAACACAATTCGCGCTAATACTAAATTATTATTAGGTATTATTATTAGTATTATTAGGTTCTGTCCAATACTAAACGATTTTATTTATAAACAATTAAAATGCAACACAAAAATGTTGATTCTATGGAGTTTAAATTACAATTGATTGAGTTTGTTCGGGAGCACAGGTGCCTCTTCGATATTAACGACCCCAGTTATAAGGACATTTATTTGAAAGAGAAATTGTGGTCGTCTATAGCAAAGGAATTAAATGATAAAAGTAAGTACCAAAGATCCAAATCTAAAAATACGTTATTCTAGGTTATGATAAAATATTTCATTTACTTTTATCCAGCCAATACTGTGAAACGCAAGTGGAAAGCTTTAAGGGACGGTTACACCAAATATAAAAAGCTATTAAGATCAGCACATGGAAAATCCATCAAGTATTCATGGAGTTCACATCTATCTTTCCTTGATTGCAATGCAGACAATCAAGATGATTCTTTGAACTCTTGTATGGTTGTTGAAGACCCTTCTAGTATTTCCGATACACCAGAATTTATACGAACTTTCACAATTTCACCTAACATGTTAGAAGATATACCTGAAATAATTGATGACTCAAATTCAGATACTGAACCTGCACAAGGTGAATATGATAATCCTTCTAAAAAACAAAAAATTGAGGAACAATTTGAAGTATTAGGACCTGTTCAGAATGCGGATGCCATGCAAAATACAAATGACAGCGTGGATTATTTATTTTTAAGTTATGCTCAAGCATTTAAAAACTTTTCTCTTAAGAAGCAGGCAATTCTTAAAGTTGATATAGCATCTTTGTTTTCCGAAGCAGAGTTATGCGAATTAAGTAGAAAAACAGATAAAACTTGACCAAGGAGTAAAATATTGAATTGTAAAGGAAATGTGATAAAATTGTGGCTATTATGTTAATTTGGTATCGAATTATTTAATACTTTGGCAATGCACATAGGGATGCTTTAAGTTGTTGTTAAATATGTGAACTATATGCTTAGTTTATTTATTAAAGATTTTCTCCATATAAATGTATAAATATTAAGCATGTGACTAATTAAACATATGAGGCTAATATTAGAAAATGTGCTCAGAAATCGTTGAAGAGATAAATTGATACATTTGTGTAATTATTGGATATTTAATTTAATTTTAAATATATTTTTATTAAAAATTACCAGTTTTTACATGTTTAAAATTGATAATGTTAGTAATATATATTATGAATTCATTAATATTAATTAATATAATATATGACTGGTTTTAAACACTATATTAGATGGTAAAAATATAGCTTAACATTTTTTAATATATTTTTTAGTGAATGTACTGATGATATTCAGTGAGTGTTTGTTTAATAATGTTTTTAGTTTCAAAGTTTATAAAAGGGGCATATCTAATCACCAGAGCTAGAAAAGATTTATAAATAACAAATTGAATAATTTTTGACAAAGTCTTTTAAAACAATAAAAGGGGTGATATCATATAATCTTATAATTTACTACTTAGAGAAATACACTAAACTAATTACACAATTCAAGCAATTGATGATTTAAATATTGAATTACATATATAGTGTCCCATATGATTAAAATAATAATTAAATTAAAAATTAAAAACTATGTGTATAGTTGCTGAATTTTAGTATCGAATGAAGAGCTCTTATAACTATTGTGGAGAAACACACAAGTTACTTTATTATATGTTTATCCTTATTTTTTATATAACAAGCCTATTTATATATAATTTACATATAACATATGCTAAACATTATTTTTTTTTATTATTTAAAAAGGATCAGAGCGGGAACTGTCAAGGACCTCTACCAACTGTCAGTTGTCAAGCCTCCATTTTTTATCCTCTGGCAACACTCTGAAGTTGTGTATGTGTTAATGGCTTGTGTCAAATCATTGTCAAACCGACGCGACAGCGAAAACATCAACATGATGTAAATTCTTATCGCCATGTCAGTTGTGAACGTTTGTGACGCGATATTCTGTTGTGTTTTAATATATAATTGTAGTGTAGTGTGCTAGCGACCTGTTATTATTGTGATAAACATAAATCATGGACGATTTAGGTAAGTGCTAGTCTAAGATATCATAACCTTGAAAATTTGGTTTACTACCCCTCGAAAATGTTAATATTCTGTACCCACAAGCATTATATTAATATTTTCGAGTTTACTGAGTATAATATCTTTAAATACTTAGGTATTCATACAATTTCAGATTCACAAAACAAATTTAAAACTATTGTTTTGACAATGTCAAAATACCACCCCATCGCTACAAACAAAAATCTAAACACAAAAAAATATTATCAAAATACAAAAAAAAATTAAAATTATTGTAAAAATCAACATAAAATATTTCATAATTATTAAATATGTCTGAAAACGTAAATATGGATGAATTTCTAACCACATATCGCGAACGATATGGATGGCCAGCTATGTTCGAATTAACACCTAAGTAAGTAATAAATTTTCAATCAAAATGGAGATTTATTCTATATGTTTATGTCAAGGGCATAAAAAACACGGTTCACGTAGAAAGTTATTTATGGTTTTTGTATACAAGCCACGTAAGTTTTACATTGAACTTCTGTAAACAATCTTACGTGGAATCAATAATATATTCCTTTCAAAAACCATAATATGATTGAAATTTGCTTTGTACTTATGCAGTCCTAGACTTGATTGTTTTTAGATTCCTTCAAATTCTTTTAGTCCTTGTCACTTGACAATTTCAACTATCAATGAGATATTCAAATACAAATTAAATATTTCTATATTTCCTCGAGTCTGTGAATTTTTTCCCTATTACCATTCTCCAGGCCATGTCAGCCGCCAAAAGAGTACTCCCAAAGGGTCCTCATGCGCCGCCAAATGGAACCATGGTGCCATTGCGACCGCCATGCTTACGACCCCATGATGGACCATTACCGCCATTTGGCAGAACGTGAAAAGCGCCTTTTCGAAGATTTGGTCACCTTAAGTGGCCAAATGTCCGTTCTCGCAGGCGATATCCTGGATCATCCTTGTGACAATGATGATCCTAAAATGAAGAGTATCTATCAGATCGATTACGCAAAGAGATCCTATCCTGTTATGAGTTACAGAAGTCTGGTGACAGCTATAGATTCTCCAGTGGGTGTTCCTGTCAAGCCTTATGGAGTTGGATTGAATGATGGTTATAGGGATCCTACTCGATTCCGTTTGTCGGCAATTCCTGTGCCTAAGATAGATTCACCGCCGAAAATAACTTTGGCATCAAAACCAGCGTCGGTTGCTGAATACCATATAGATTTTCCAGGAGCTACAGAGTATATGGACACCATTGGTAAATTGGGAAGGACGTGCCAACTTGCTAGGCAACAATATACAGAGCCTTTACCGAGCACGAGGAGGAGACATTTGGATCCATGCTTGTAAAATGACTCATAATTCGATTTGGAAGTTGTTTGCACAACCAATTTTACTGGGAGAATTATCATCACTTTGCAACATATCTTCAAACATATTACTACTACCAAAATGAGATTTACCAGTATATGAAGGTTGTAAAGAGATTTGAGTCCAACAAAATAAAGTACAGGAATATTTCTTATTACCGAACTGAGTATAAATATTTTCTCAGTGCCCAGGATAGATTCACTGCCAAAAATCACTTTGGCATCAAAACCAGCATCGGTTGCTGAATACCATATAGATTTTGGTAAATTGGGAAGGACGTGCCAACTTGCTAGGCAACAGTATACAGAGCCTTTGCCGAGCACGAGGAGGAAACATTTGGATCCATGCTTGTAAAATGACTCATAATTCGATTTGGAAGTTGTTTGCACAACCAATTTTACTGGGAGAAGTATCATCACTTTGCAATATATCTTCAAACATGTTACTACTACCAAAATGAGATTTACCAGTATATGAAGATTGCAAAGTGATTTGAGTTTAACAAAATAAAGTACAGGAATATTTCTTATTATACAACTAAGTATAAATATTTTCTCAGTGCCCAGGATAGATTCACTGCCGAAAATCCCTTTGGCATCAAAACCAGCATCGGTTGCTGAATACCATATAGATTTTGGTAAATTGGGAAGGACGTGCCAACTTGCTAGGCAACAGTACACAGAGCCTTTGCCGAGCACCAGGAGGAAACATTTAGATCCATGTTTGTAAAATGACTCTTAATTTGATATGGAAGTTGTTTGCACAACCAATTTTACTGGAAGAATTATCATTACTTTGCAAGATATTTCCAAACATCTTACTACTACCAAAATGAGATTTACCAGTATATGAAGATTGCAAAGTGATTTGAGTTTAACAAAATAAAGTACAGGAATATTTCTTATTATCGAACCGAGTATAAATATTTTTTCATTCATTCATTAAACAAGAAATATAAATATTACTCTTGGCCTTGTAATATCGGACGCAATCTATTGAGATGAAGGCGTGACACTTGATGTTGTAAAACATACGCGGGCAGCATTACATATATGGTCGCAACAATCAATTCATGACGTATCATTCAAGGTACATTTTTAAATAAGATTTATCAATGAAAAAACTTCCGTTTTGTAACTGGAAAAGATGTATAGAAAATGGAATAAACTGTAACTGGGAAATGTCATATGAAAAAAATTATTGTAATTGTTTATTGATATAATAAATTTCTAATTTTTGTTTTTCTCCATGATTCTATCTGCCATGACTTCAGTTTTTTTGCTGTAATTTTTGCAAACTTCTTGTTTTCTTCTACTTCTGCAAACTTCTATTTGTTCTTAATAAAGTAGATAGTTTCAGTCTTCGTATTTCTAAAATAGTGTTTCTCATTTTTCCTAATTATTCATAGTAAAATATAATCAATTTCTATTCCAAGGCTCTTCGTGATTTTATTGCTTAATTTTATCCTTTGCAAAATTTTCAAGCCATTGTTAGGGTATTTTTCAAATATTCTCATTTTTTTCATATGATTAAGAGAGGAACCATGTAAGGTTCTTTTGTAATCAAATAAACTCAACAGGATACTCACTCTGGAAACTTTTTTGTTGAAGATTTTGTTTTCAGATGGTTGATGTTACCTTTTCACCAGTTTACCAATCATCTTCTTTATTTTTCTCCTATTTGTGAAACTAATCCTTTTAAAGATCTAGTCTTCAGATGGTTGCTGTTACTTTTTCACCAATCTACCAACCATCTTCTCTATTTTTCTCCTATTTATGAAAACTAAACATTTTTAAGAGAATCATTTTATTGTTATGTGTTGGTTTAGTTTTCATTTCACTCTGGAAACTTTTTTGCCAAAGATCTTGTCTTCAGATGGTTGTTGTTACTTTTTCACCAATCTACCAATCATCTTCTTTATTTTCCTCCTATTTATGGAAACTAATCCTTTTTAAGAAAATTATTTTATTGCTGTCTTATTTTAAATCTCATTTCACTATGCAAACTTTTTTGCCAAAGATCTTGTCTTCAGATGGTAGTTGTTATTTTTTTCACTAATCTACCAATCATCTTTATTTTCCTCCTATTTATGAAAACTAATCCTTTTTAAGAGAATCATTTTATTATGTCTTATTTTAGCTCTCATTTCACCCTGGAAACTTTTTTGCCAAAGATCTTGTCTTCAGATGGTTGCTGTTAGTTTATTCACCACTCTACCAATCCTTATTTTTTCCTCCAATTAATGCAATATTTTTTTTAGGAAAATCCTTTTTTTGAGATGTCCTACTTTTGTTCACATTACACCCTGGAAACTAAATTTTTGCTAATGATTCCTTGACTTCAGATGTTTTTCAGCAATTTGCCTATCATAGTATTTATTTTCCTTTTGGTCCAAATAATTTTACTTAAAAAATTAATCGTTACTGCCTCATTACTTAAACAAATCTTTTCAGATCTATCTTTTTAATAATAAAATATGTGTAAAATTGTTTTCCCATATATTTGTGACTTTATAGGATAATATTATCCTTTCCAACATCTCCAAATCTCTACTAGAAATTGTGAGGGTTCTCCAAATGTGTTTTCTCATTCCTAAATATTTACATTTTGGTAAACACACTTCTTTTAACACTTTTCTTACAAATCTACCAATCATATTCCTTATTACCTCAAATGTATGCATTTTTTAAAAAGAAAATTATTTTCTTGTAATGTCTTACTCTGGAAACTGGAAACTTCTTTGCTAATGAGTTCCTTGACTTCAGATATTTGCTGTTTTTCAGCAATTTGGCAATCATAGTATTTATTATCCTTTTGGTCAAAATATTTTTGTTTAACAAAATGGATCATTACAGTCTCATTCCTTAAAGAAATCTTTTCAGATCTTCTATCTTTTTAGTAATAAAATATAACCAATTTGTTTCCCCAAATATTTGTGACTTTATAGGATAATATTGTCCCTTCCAACATCTCCAAATCTCTACCAGAAATTGTGAGGGTTCTCCAAATGTGTGTTCTCATTCTTAAATATTTACATTTTGGTAAACACACTTCTTTTAACACGTCTAAAAGAAAGAAACAATATGAGCTTCTTGTTTAATCAAATAAATAATGTATTTTTAAATAAATATTATACAAACACAGCAATTAATAGAACTCTATGAGCTATAAAATTACAATATGCATAAATAAATATAAAACTGAAGGAAGAAATGGTAAAAATTGCTCCAATGATCAATTGACTGTTTGTCATCAATTGTTCAAGTTTCTTATTGAGTCTCCTTTTTAATGGAGAAATTTTTTTTCTTAAGACCTTAACAAATATGTTGTAAAAACTTCAATCACCATTCCAAATAAATTTTAATATAATTCTCCAAATTGAAATCAATTTCAATCCTCGGTATAAAAATTGTTGTTATATTATTTTAACCTTGGCGGTTGCCTTGAGTTTGTTTTTATCAAATATTTTGCATTGTTGCTTGACAAATTAATAACAAAGTGATAACGATTGTTAATTGGTTGATAGCAATAAATTGTAGGGAATATAAACTTTTTTTTTGCTTAAGAATGAATTAAGGAAATTTGGTTTTTATTTGATGGATCTTGTTTTGGTCTTGGAGTTCAATATATGAATATCTAATCTTATCATAATTCAAATATGATAAGACGAGAAATACGTCATACTCTTGTGGTACTATTATTGTCTAAAAATTTGATAGCAGAAATTACTTAATTAATGTTGATAACAATATTTATTACAAAATATATATAAGACTTTTGTAAAAGTCTACTACATATTTAGATTTGAATGTAAAATCGAACGGACATCTATATGGCTTCGCTGGTTATATTTTTTTCTTGAATGGGTTTCAATAATTGCTAACTCGTATTGTGATATCTGTTTATTTTTCTTTTTTAATTATTTGGATAATATTAACTATTATAATCGAAAAATGAATAAAATGGTTTTTGATTATTTATTATCTATATAAATAAATATTCTTTAAAAGTAGATACTATCAAATGTTATGACAAATACTTGAAAAAAGTGCTAGTCGAATTTTTCACCGTTGCTTTTTTACCAAAGTATTTTCTTGAATTTTTTTAACATTTTTTCTTTACACATATTTATTTGGTACTTTATTATAATATGCCATTGTCTTGTTCAATATTGTTTGCTTGTTTTTTGGCACTTTATTCAAATAGTTCATATCATTATGTAGAATAATTTTCATAATTTTATTCTATCTAAAATAAATCTATAATTTTATTAAAATATTTTGAGAAGTTCTCAATGAGAACAATAAATTGTAGTGAAGCAGTCAGGCGATTTTTTTGTTGATACTCTAAAAATATTTTATTCTTATACTTTTATTATTAATAACTTTTATTAGCTTTCCGTAGCCTAAGTTATTGTAATCGTCCAAAAATCGAAATTGAAATTTTTTACCTTTCTTCACGTTTTGAAGGTTTCTGAACATTTTGGCATACCTCAGAAAAAATGGATGTGTGTGTGTATATATGGATACAATTTTTCGTTCATGTTTTAGGACGCACGGATCATCCGATTTGAATGGTTTAAAAAACATTCGATTCCTATTGATAGGGAGATGTGCTGATTAGTTTTTGGCGAAGGAAGGTCCAGCCGTTTTGGAGATAGGGAGCAGAGAGTGCAGAAAATAGGTATCGAGTTTTTGAGAGATTGGAGGAGCATCCGATTTGAATGATCCAAAAAACATTCAATTCGTAATGACGGGGAGAAGTGATTAGTTTTTGGCAAAGGCAGGTCCAATGGTTTCGGATATACAGAGCTAAATGTGAAAAAATTGCAGTTTTTGAGTGAACTAAGCGTCCGATTTGAATGATTCAAAAAACATTCTGCTTGTTTTAACAAAATAATTGCTTTTGGAAAAAAAAAGTTTTGATACATTTTTTAAAGGATCATATATCTATGCCATGACAAAGATAATGCTTTTTTA